TGATAGAAAGATTGGAGATTTCTTTATTCTTGTTTTTCTAGATTCTTGAATCTTTTGGGAGTCTTTGGAGGGTATTTTTTTTTGTCGGTTTTCTTCCTATAAAGATGTTTTTGCCATAAACCTTTTAAATGGGTTTCTTATATTTAGTCACAAAAATAAACAAGAAAAGTATTTTGAAAAAGAAAAATAAAACAAGTGGTGGCTTCTGCTTGCTCGACTGGTTAAAACCAATATTGTTTTTAAGAAAAGTGTATAGACTTTATTATCATAAAAACAAAAAATCTTTTGAGAACATTTGTTTTTTGGATTAGCAAAAGGATCAGCGGAAAGAGTTTTTGATTATATAATATATTTATAATTTTTTAATTAATTTATTAAATATATAAAAAGTTTTATTTTTATATTTTATTGAATTTAATAAACTTTTGGATTTTTTTTTATTCTTTTAAAAAATTTTTTACTTATTTATTACAAATTTTTTGAAAATTTTCTTTATAAAATTTTTTTTAAAAAAAGTATTTTTTTCTTTTTCTTTAATATATAAACTATATTATAAGCTTAAGAATATAAAGATTTTAAGATCATTATTATATTAAAATAAAACTTTAAATCAAAGATTAAATAAGTTTAAAAGTTTTATTTACTCTTTAATTATATAAAAAAAAATTAATAATAGTTTTATTTCTTAACTTTGTCTTTATATACTTATTATTATTATTATTATTCTTATTCTTCTTTTTTCTTTTAATATTATCAAATTTTTTCTAAAATATATTTAAGTAAAATTATATTTGTTTTAAGCAAATTCTTTTAAATAGTTTTTATATAATATACTTTATTGTATTATTTTAATAATATCAAATTTTTTTTCAAATTTAAATTTAAAACCAACTCAATTTCTTCAAATAATCTATATAATCTTAATAATTAATTAAATTTTTATACTCTAGACTAACAAAAATTAAATTAGTATTAATCTATTAAAAATAATAATACTAATAATAATATATAAAAATATATTAAATACTTATTAAATTAAGATCTATCTTTTGAAAATCTATTATATTAAAATAAAAAATAATAATACTATTATTTGATTTAACTTAATTATTTATGAATAGATATTAGTTACTTATGGATTATCAATAGTTTGTTATTACTTATTAGGTATTTTTATAAACTAAAAATTTGTATATATGATAAATTAAAATCAAACTTATAAATAATAATATAAGATTATATCCATTTTGTTAAAAATTTTCCTTATCCTTCAGTTGCATAAGGAAAGGCCTGTAGTAGTTTTTTTTTTTTTAGTTCTCTTGTATCCCTCATTACTCTTATTCTATTATAAAAATCATCTATATTATTACTATTATACTCGCTAAACAAAATACTTTCCAAAACATACACTTAAACAAAGTTAGTGAATTTACTGTTTGTTTTAATTTAACTCTTATATACAATATTTTTGTAGCAATATTTGCTGCATCATTTTCAACCTTTAAAAAATTCTTACTCAAAAAACTGAAATCAGTTTATCTTTTTCAGATAATCAGTACTCATCAATCATTCAATCAGATTTTATCTATTGATCAAAACAAAAACCAAACAAGCTCAAATCGGTTTTGTATCATAATAATAATCATAATAATAATAACAACTAACTTATCACCAATGACTATAACAATAAACAATATCATGTGTACTCTAGGATTTATAGCACACAGAATAACAAAAAGTTGGAACCACAAGTCCATCAGAGGGTTATTTTATTCAACGTATGGATCTTATAATACATTTGATTTAGTTTTAGTTATAGTCAATTTTATTTTTATTTTTAATTTTTTATATTTAAAAAATTAAAAGAATTTATAAAATTTTCTGAGATAGTAGATATAGTTGCTACTTAGCCTTATCTAGCACTTTAATATTGATTTTGAATTTTTTTACAATATTAGTTAGATATTGATAAGTAGGCAAGCTAACATTTAACTTTTCTGAAATAATAAAAGAGATGTTGTTTCTTTCAACAATATATATCTTGTTATATACAAATCAAAATAAAGAAATAATATTTACCTACTGGAGAAACCCTTCCAAAAAATAAATAATAATATAAAATTTTTAATATAATAATTATAAACAATTTGTTTAATAAAGATTTTATATTTAATGCTTGTTTACAGTAAAATAAAAAAATAAAAAAAACAATAAACTTTTAGATTTAATGATTTGTATTAAATTATTATTTAAAAATTAATATAATTTAGATAATTATATTATAATAAAAAAAATAAATTTATTATTAAAAACATATATGTAAATAAAAAAAAATTAAATCTATTTAAAATATTTTTTATTAAGAAATTTAATAAAATTTCAAATATAATATAATAATATAATAATAATAAAAATTCAAATCCAAAATAAAAAATTACATATAATTTTTAAAAAATATTGGATTAATAGCTTTTTATTTTATAATAGCATAATAAAAAAATTGCCAGTTTTTTCTGCCAGTACTTTATTTATTAGATATAGTATATAATAATTAATATATTAAATAATAAATTAATAAAATATACATTCTCTGATCTACGCAGTATGCACGGAAAATCCCAATGAAAATGGGAATAACAGTCAGAAAATCATGATCAACTCTCTTCACACAACAAACTGAATAAATTATACTCAAGGTTGCCTTTGAAATAGATAAATCAAATTTGGAGTTAATATTCTTGAATATTGTGATATTTCTCGAAGTATAAACCCAAAGCTTGTGATAGCATACAATTTATTCAAAGCTCAGCCAATTAAGTCAAAAATAGATTCTTGGAAATGCTGGTCTACGTCTTAATTTTGTTTATGTCATGTTTTTTAAGTAAGTTTTCATATTTTTTTAAAATCGAAAGATATCTCTTTTGGTTTGTAACTAATTTTCTCCTATATTCATTCTAGCTGCCGCCTTTTACTATCGCCGGCTCTTCCTCATCTACTTTCCCGATCTAAAAAATCGTTATGAGCGTCTTCCAGCATTCTTTTCTACAAACTCTTCATTAAACAATTCATCATTTCAAGCTGACATTGAGACTGGTCTGACTTCTGAAACATTTGACCTAAATCAAAATGTTGTTGGTAAAGATGATCGGCCAGGATTGGAAAATGCCGAAGAGATTAAGGAAATCATGAAAACGGAAGGATTGAAATTTGATCAGGCAAGGTTGTTGATGATGCAACGAAAATTTAAAACTAATGATATCGACCCACAAACAGGTGTACCCAAGGATCCTAAGTTGGTTACATTTTCTTCAACGAGCGAATGAATACGAAATGGCTTTTCTTTCTTTCTTCTATTTCTTTTTTGGGGGGGATTTGAACGAGGGAGGAAAACATGATCTTCCGATTTTGAAACTTACGTTTATTTACTGTTAATTCCACCTTGTAAATATAATTGTACCATTCTACTGTAGAAACAAGTTTTATTTTAGTGATTTAATATACGTATGAAAAAAAAGTACTATGAAAATTTAAGGTTTTGATGTTTTTAAATCACATCATTACAAGAAATTTTCAAATCGATCATTTACAAATACATCTAATGTTAGAGGAATCGAAGGAATAAGAAAATACGCCGTAATCTCTGATAATGAAATTCATGAAATTTATTCGTGCGTTCTTCATGCATCATGAAATATACGTGATGGACTTACAATTACTATATAAATTCAAATACGTACCTTCTGGATCTAATTCTTTCCAATGATAGACCATCGGTGCTTGCATACATTTCCTTCTGTATTAGACATGTTAAAGAAACAAATGAATTTAGATGCGCATACTATGATACAAAGTATGAAACATTATGAAAATATTGAAAGAAATCAAAAAAAAAAAAATAGTAGTTTCTTATTTTTTTTTACAATTATTAAACAATATAATACATAATGAAATGCAACATCTATAAATATAATTCAAATTCTTATATTTTTATTTTTTTTATAGTCATAAATTATTTGATTTTTTTTAAAAAAATATTATTTAAATTAATATTATATAATTAAGTCTTAATAAAAGATTTTATAATTTTATACCTCTATTTTAATTTTTAAAAATAAAATATACTGTATATAATTTTATTTTTATATATTATTTATGATTTTTTAATTTAGCGTAACATTTAAAATATGATATAATAAATTAATAAATAACTTTTATTATAAATATTATTGGTAACTAAAAAATCTATTTATTTGTTATTTATTTTTATTATAGAAAGAGAGTAGGGATTTAATTAACTTTATTTATGTATTAAGTTATGCATTATTGTCATTATTGTAAAAAAATCATTTTAAATTAAAATGTTATTATGCCGATTCAAAATAGTCTAACAAGGGATCATGTGATGAATTTCATGTTTTTATTTCAATATGATTGGGCAAGGTATATAAAACAAAGTTTTTTTTGTTCGAAAAATTTCAATATCCAACAAACCAAGAAACCCTATAGGTCCACACCATAAAACTTATTCCTGATATCACCTTCAAGCAATATTGATAGTAAGTAAAAGCTTGACTAAAGTTTACGTGGCTTTTTGTTTGAATAAAGTTATTTGTTACATACAAACTTTGCCTCAAAATTTACAAACATGGTTGCAAATTTCACTCTAAGAAATATTGAAACTATTATTATGAGTGATACTTTCAACTTTGGATTGTTTCTTATTTCTTTCTTTTTTTCTTTAAAAAAAAAATTTGGTTAGTAAGTCATGCAAGCCCACAACGAGGCTAGTAACCCTGATTTCGGTCAATTACCCAATTTTCCACAACCGCCTCCAGCTTCAACAACGATGCCGACCACGGTGCCTTCCACAAATCACGCACTACTGTCCGCACAGCAAATAAATCATTTGAAGCTTCAAATTCTTGCTTTTAAATTGATTTCTCGTAACATGGTTGTACCTCCGCAACTGCAGACAGCACTGTTCTCACCTGGTCAGGCCGGCTCATTGTCAACACAAGAGTTGACGGGTAACATATCTTTACCGAGCAAAATTGTTGAAGTTTCCCATAATCATCACAGTGTACCTTCGCATGGGTCACACGCATCATCCGATTCTTCAATGGACATTTTCTCTGCTCAACCTCCTACTTCAATTACTTATAATTCCTATACAAACCCGTTGACCTACTTGAAGCCAGTTAATACCTATTCTCATGCATCTCGACAACAAAGGATGTTAATCCCAGCAGTAATGCCTATAGGGATTGATCCACATGATATTGCTGCAGAAAGGGAACGTCAGTTAAGGGCACGGGTACAATATAGAATTGAATTGCTCGAGAAAGAGTTGATGGATGAAGAGGCTGAAAATTTGACTCCAAGCGAAAAAATAAAAAAATCAATAGATTTAAGTTCATCGAAATTATGGGATTTTCAGAATAAGGTAAAAAAATATCATCGTGATCACTTCATTTCCACTGTCATTTAATCTTTAACTCAAGGTTTTTCACGTAGCTTCGCCAAGAAATTATAAATGTAGCTAGAGGCGCAATGTTGGCCACAATAAATGATCACACTGCCTTTAGGAGAATGAAAAGACCGTCAATGCGAGATGTGAGACAAATCGATAAACTTGAGAAACAGCAACGGGATGACAGGCAGCGTCGCCAAAAGCAAAAACATTTAGATCATCTAGCACGCATTTGTAATCATGGTCGTGACATTATTCAATGGCATCGTACAAACCAGAATAAGCAACTTAAATTTGGACGAGCGGTTTTAAATTATCACGCTCAGGTTGAAAAGGAAGAGCAGAAGAGAGAGGAACGTCTACGCAAAGAACGTCTGAGAGCATTGAAAAACGACGATGAAGAAGCTTATTTAAAACTCATTGACAAAGAAAAGGACACTAGAATTGCACATCTGTTGGATCAAACGGATTCGTACCTAGAATCATTGGCACAAGCTGTTGTTGAGCAGCAACACGATGATCTGCATTCAGATCCCGCAGTTAGGGGTGGCGTTGAACTGATGGACGAGAATGAAGATGAAGAAACCTATACGATTGTGGTAAAGATTTATTAATTAGAATCAATATTATTATCTAACCCTTGTTGAATTGTATTAAATTTTTGAATTTATTATCGCGTATTAGAATGGCCAAAAAATCGACTATTACAAAGTTGCTCATAGAATTAAGGAAGAGGCCGAGCAACCATCGATGATGGAAGGTGGTACACTCAAAGATTATCAAGTAAGTAAAGTTATCAGGTTGTTATAAGGGATGAACTTCGTTTAATAAAATTCTCGTAATAGGTTAAAGGGTTACAATGGATGGTATCACTATATAACAATCGATTAAATGGCATCCTTGCTGACGAAATGGGTCTTGGAAAAACCATTCAAACTATATCCTTGGTCACATACCTCATTGAACGGAAGAGACAAAATGGTCCATTCTTGATCGTGGTCCCATTATCGTATGTGATTAATTTGTTATTATTATTTAAAATATTTACCTTGTGATATTTATGCTCATTAATTTTTTTAGTACGTTGACAAATTGGACCCTTGAATTTGAAAAGTGGGCGCCGTCTGTTAGAAAATGTGTTTACAAAGGAAATCCTGGTGTTCGCAAAGAACTTCAACAATCATATATTAAGCACATTGACTTTCAAGTTCTTTTGACTACTTATGAGTACATTATCAAAGATAAATCGATATTGAGTAAGATACGGTGGGTCTATGTGATAATTGATGAAGGCCACCGTATGAAAAATGTCAATTCCAAGTTGTCCATAATTTTGACCAACAATTACCAGTGCCGCTATCGGTTAATTCTTACTGGAACTCCGTTACAGGTAATTTTTTAAATTCGTCAGATTTTTACCTCCGACCTAAACCGGAAAATAGAGGGTTACAAAATTATTCATATTTTGTTGTCTCGTTTTAAGAATAACCTTCCAGAATTATGGTCACTATTGAATTTTATTCTTCCCAAAATTTTTGATTCTGTGAAAAGTTTTGACGAATGGTTTAACACGCCATTCGCAAATACTGGCGGTCAAGACAAGATAGCTTTGAACGAAGAAGAATCTTTGCTTATAATAAAACGTTTGCATAAGGTAAAATATTTGCCAAAACTTAACCTTTTTTTGCGTCACGTTAATTGTATCCGGTTATCAATTTTTTTATGTTTAGGTTCTTAGACCTTTCTTACTACGTCGGTTGAAAAAGGATGTTGAATCAGAATTACCCGACAAGGTTGAACGGGTAATTAAATGCAAGCTATCTTCCCTCCAATTAAAATTGTACAATCAAATGAAGAAACATGGTGTCCTTTTTGTAAATACTGGGGAAAAAGGGTATATATATTTCGATTTATTAAACCGAATGATCAAGATAATTGGTTTATATCAATATATTAATTTTATAGGAAAACTGGTATCAAGGGCTTGAATAACACTATAATGCAGTTGCGAAAAATTTGCAACCATCCGTTCGTGTTTGACGAAGTCGAAAAGGATATCAATGTCCATTTGACCACAAATCCTCTAATTTATCGTGTCTCTGGAAAGTTTGAGTTATTAGACAGAATATTACCTAAATTCTTTAGATCTGGACATAGAGTGGGTACAAAATTTCTAATAATGCTAGTTAACTCAAAGCGCTTATCCAATAATCTCTATCCTAGGTGTTGATTTTCTTCCAAATGACTGCTATTATGTCTATAATGGAAGATTTTTTGATGTGGAGAGGATTCAAATACTTACGTTTGGATGGTACCACAAAGGTATTCCTCTTTCTGATTAAGTAAAAAAACTAAATGAATTTGTAATGACACTCTTCACGAATATTTGCAGGCCGAAGATCGTTCAATTCTGTTAAAGAAATTTAATTCTGTCGATTCGGATTGTTTCGTATTTCTGCTTAGTACTCGTGCAGGTGGATTAGGGTTAAACTTGCAAACTGCTGATACTGTTATTATCTTTGACTCTGATTGGTAATTTCATTTAGTAAATTTTTTTAATAAATTGCAATTTGCTTATTAGTTCATTTTTGTCAGGAATCCCCATCAAGACTTGCAAGCGCAAGATCGTGCTCACCGCATTGGTCAAACCAGGGAAGTTCGCATATTACGTTTAATCTCTCAAAAATCAATTGAGGAAACCATTCTCGCTCGGGCTCAATACAAGTTAGACATAGATGGGAAAGTAATTCAGGCTGGAAAATTTGATAATAAAAGTACTGCTGAAGAACGTGAGGCTATCTTGGTATGTAATTCTTACAATTTTGTTTCTTTCATGGGTTTATATTGGTTTATGACTGATTAACTTCAAATCAAATAGCGTTCGCTCTTGGAAGAAAGTGAAGAGGCAAATGATTTTGAAGAGGAGGAGGAATTAGATGATGACGAACTTAATGAAATCCTTTCTCGTAATGACGAAGAACTTGAAATGTTTAGGAAAATGGATATTGAGAGAAATCAAAGAGAAGAAATGGAGTGGAGAAAAAGTGGTGGAGTAGGTAAACGACCGGAAAGATTAATTGAGGAGCGTGAGTTACCACCAGTATATATAAAAGAATATGATACAATTATTCGCCGTGAGGACCCTGGAGTAGAATATGGTCGTGGGCAAAGGCCAAGAGGTGCCATTAATTACGATGACGGATTGACGGAAGAGCAATGGGTCAACGTAAGTGATGATCACATGTGTTCCAAGTAGATGAACCTTTTTTAAACATTATAAACATTTGCTTCTAGGCTATCGAAGATCAAAATATAGATGTCGATGACTTGATTGCCAAAAAAAAGAAAGCAAAGGAAAAGAGGATTGCAAAAAAATATCAAAAAATCCAGGTTCAGAGTCAATCAGAGGCATCACAGCAATCTACTCTGAATCCTGATGAGTTAAAGTCCGACAATGATTCTAGGAAGAAACGTGGTCGACCAAGAAAAGATGATGTACTTTTTTTTGAAAATGTATCCGAATCTTCCAAAGGATCAAAGAAAAAGAATAAAGGGAAACGTTCGGCAGAAACAGACCTTGATGATGACTCAAAGGTTGTGATTAATTGATTTTTGTCTTATTATGGACTTCTTGTATAATATATTAAAACTTAACCATAAATGTATAATAGAAAAAGCGTAAAACGGGTAAGAAAACTCCTAAAGAAAGTCCTACTGATACAGTCCCGCCACCAATACGAGAACAAATGAAGCGGATTTTTAATGAATTATATAATCTCGTTGAGAACCTAACGGATGACGTGGAAGGGTATGGTTGAAACCTTTATAAACTAGTATTGTTTTATTAGAACGTCGCCATGTACTTATTTACCTCTTCAAATGTATTAGGGAACCACGACAACGTGCATATCTCTTTCTTGCGCTTCCTAACAAAAAGGATTGGGAGATCTATTATACTATTATAAAGAAACCGATTGCGATGGATATGATTAAAAGAAAAATAAAAAATAATTCTTATCAAACAGTGTCTCAATTTAAAGAAGATTGGCACTTGATGTTTAGTAATGCTAAGATTTTTAATGAAGAAGGTTCACAAGTATACATTGATGCCGAAAAGATGAAGGTATGTTAGTTTATTCACTTGTCTTTTCTGAACATTATGTGATTTATAATTGATTATTTGTTCATCCGTCAAATTTATAGGAGGCATTTGATGCTAGATTTGAAGAACTCTGTCCAGGTGGTCAACTTCCACCACTGGAAAATGATGAAATGGAGTTTTAAAAACTATCCTACGATTGATTTTCCGCTCTTTTAAAATTATTATAGCAATCTGTAAATAGATGTATTTGTGCTTAATTTTGTTTAAAATAATATTTTTATCAAACGTTTATAGATTATGTGATAAAGCTAATGCGTAATTTATGAACAATATGTAAGTCACGTTTACTGCAAGCGAAAAGTTTGTTTATTATGTGATTATGTAAATTATGATTGTAAGAATACAATAAACGATTTAATTAATTCTTTACCATATATTGCAATATTTATTTATGTTATAGTTGTTTATATGCATGAATCTCTGTATGCCCGTTGCGAGATTGAAAGTTTAATTTGAAGGATGCCATTATTTATTGTACTGTTAATTTACAAATAATTTTTTACAACTTAATTTAATAAAATTCTCATAATTTATATAAAATTTAATGTACAGACCACTAAAAATCACGTCCGATGATTTTTTATATTTAATTAAAATTTATACAATATACAGTCTGGGACAAAAAAAACCGCCCTTATAAAACACGTGATAAAAAAAAAAAAACTACTGCCCTAATAAATATGTAATTCACATCATAGATAGATATAACTTTATTTTATTAATAAAAAAAAAATCAGTATGATATTCATTCGCCGTTTTTCTCTACCACCTCTTGACATCGTCGTGGTATCGACATCACCAAATCTTTTAAAAGTGAGTTGGGAATTTTTTTCCATTCTTTGATCATATACATTTTTAAATCACTCAAATTACTTGGCATACACAATTCTACATTCCTCTTGACCACGGCCCATAGGTTTTCTATAGGGTTTAGATCAGGACTGTTGGACGGCCAGCCGATGACCTCCAGCACACTTTCTTTAAGAAAATTCTTTGCGAGATGGCTCGTGTGCTTAGGATCGTTGTCCTGCTGCCACCGTTACCGACTTCCAAGCATTCCTTTTATCTCTGGGATGTGCTTGCGAATAATATTTACATAAAGCTCAGCATTCATCATCTCTTGGAAACAGTGTAATTTAGATTTTCCTCTCCAAAAAAAACCCCCCCAAGTCATAATTTTTCAACAATTCTTGGGAATAGAACGAATTAGTCTTGGTCTCTTGTGCCAATGTGTTATCATGTTATGAAAGAGCTGGAAGGTTGTTTCATCCGAAAAAAAACATTTTTTTTCCAATTGTTCCCATGTGTTTGAGTCCCCATTTGACACACACCTTTTTATGAGCCTCGGTAAACATTGGAGTCTTTTTAGGAAGACTATTTAGATACCCAAGACTCGCTAAATGCCTCTGAATCATCCTGTAAGAAACCTTGACACTCTTTTTCTTTAGTTTTATTACTAAGGTTCTTGTGAAAATAGAAGAACCACGACGAATATACTGACCTATCACTCATACTGCGGATTCGGTAAGTTTTCTTGGTCAACCATTACCTTTGGCGTAAGCATTGTTTCTTGTTTTTTCTAGTTTTTTTATGTTGTTACGAATTGTTCTGATAGGAATCTTCGTTTTGGTATGTAATTCTTGGGCGTTGTGCACATCCTCGTTCCAGTAGAATAAAAGAGTTTCTCGTTATGATTTTTTTCTTGCAGTCGACATTTCAACAGTATGTCTTGGCTAAAAAGCCAAAATATACTGATGCGTGGAAAATGGTTGAAAAAAAACCAAGGTATTGAGATGTCAACACTGTGTAAGATTTATTACTAAATTAGGATTAGGACATGTTACATTAATTTTTGTCATGTGAAAATTTAGGCAGTTTTTTTTGTCCTGGACTGTATAAATTTATAAATTTATCTTAATTATGTGACTTTCATTGGATTGAAAATTATATTTTTTATAAAAGATAATAAGTATGTTAAAAAAAATAAAATGGAGAAATATAAATTAAAATATTTAGCTAAAATAATATGAATTTGTTATAATAATGCAAATTCTATAGTATGTTATATTCAAAGATTAATTGATTATTATTTTTTTTGAAAAAGAATTATTTATAATTATTATTGTTTTAAAATACTTTTTTTATTTGTAATAGTTTTAATAAGTTTTTTATTTTTTTAAGATTAAGTGCAATACATATATGGTTTTTATTAATCAATAAAGATTACATTATATTATTATTATTATTATTTTAAAACTAGCTGAACCTTGCTTAGTAAATTTTATTAAAGTCAATATTTACATATATTTGTATACATTTCTGTATATAAACTATGCTATAACATTAATTGATGAGTGTATGCTGAACTATATTAAGATTTTTTTAGATATCAGTTGTTGCTATCAACTTTTCTTATTGGATAAAGGTTGAAACTAACATGTCAAGACATTGCTATTGTTAATGTTACTAGTATATAAATAAAAAAAATTGTTTTTTGTTATTTTGTCTATGTTTTTAATCCATCTTTTCAGCAACTTTCTTGCCAGGTTCTTTTTTCTATTTGCTATTTTTTTCTTTTCTTTTTTGTCTTTTTTTACTTCTAATTGATATATTTTATGTCCTCACTTTTTTTGTTCACTTTACTAATATTGTTTACCTTTTTTTATTATATAATTTCTTTGCATCTTTTTTTCACAATTTGTTAATTACTTTTGTTGTTTTTTCTGCAATTCTTTTGCATACTTCTTTTGTTTTTTCTTTTGCATACTGATATATATATTATATTATCTCTTTGATTAGGATTCCCTTTACTATGTAGTTTTTTGTACTCTCTGAGTTAATAATAAATGATATTTTGGGTTTTGGGTTTTTCTTTTCTTTTTCCTTATTTCAGTTTCTTTGACACTCTTTTATTTCTTCTTTTATTATCTTCTTGTATTCTTTTGTGATTTTATACTACCAATATTTGTGTATCAAGTAATTTAAACTTTTTGTTTTCTTATATTCTGGATATTTGTTTGATTAGTAAATGTTTAGTCTTCTTTTTGCTAACCTATTTAGTATAAAAAATTTATTCTTTTTTAATCCATATTTAATTCTTCTATACATATAATCCTCTTGGTTTATATGCATTTTAGTTATTCTGAATTAGTGTTACGCTTCCCAAGTAAAATACCAGTCTATTTATAATTTATCTCTATACTCAATCTATATTTTGTTTCTTTTTTGTGTTATTCAGTTTGCTATCCATTTGGTTTTTTACATATTCTTCAAAAAATTTTTTGATACTTGTATCTAACTGATATTCTCTCTATTTTAATATTTCTCAAGCCATTGCTTTTGGATTAGCTGTTATAATTGTTTTGTTTTCTTTGTTTGTACCTTCTTTTTCCAATTCATTTATCTCTTTATTATTCTTTTCTCTCTGGTGTACCTTGACTTTGATGAATACTGTTTGTCCTACCTTTCTTTAATAATTCTTTTAATCAAAGTTTTTGTTATCTAATTTGTATCATTATAAATTTGACAGCTCCTTTTGTCTCCTTTTTAAATCTCTTGAATAGCTGCCTAGATATCTATATATATCTTGACTTCTGCTTGTGCTGGAATTATAACCAGCATGATTAGGATTGCTATTGATTCTGCTCTTATTGATAATAGAAAGTGCTTTGTGTATCTTAATTATATTAATTTCTCTATTGATTTTTAATTGGTTATATGCCATCCTATTCTTATCTTGATTTGATTAGTTGTTTTTTGAACCATTGAGCCATCTGTATATGCTTTTATTCTTTTCCAGTTTTCAGTTTGTTCAACTATTCTGACTAGTTCTTCTTTGTTTGAGCTATAATTTATAGATATTTTGTAATTTTATTTTCTATTTCTGTTTGTTTTTCACTAATTAAAACATTAATTCTGGTTTGAATTTTGTTTTTCAGATTTTGTATATTGTATATTATTGTGTCTAATAATGTTTGTATTTTGTCAAGATGTTCTAGAATCTGACTGTGAAGCTTTGCACTATATATGGTTTTAGTTACTGGAATAATTATTGCCTGGTTTATTTTTATATATCTCTTTTATATTGTCTTTATGGTTGCAACCTTGACATTTGACTATAGGCAAGTCTTCTTCTATTTGTCATTTATATTGTACTCTAACTTTGTTATCTATTATTTTGTATTTGTGATCTATTCTTTTAAAATATATTTGTTAATTAATTATATATGCCAGATATCTTTGCTTTTGGATATTGTGACCTTTTGCTGCTTTTAGTTAAAAAATTAAATTGGATCTTTTTAAGTTCATTAATGCGATAGTGTACCTGTTTTCTAATATGTTTGGTTGGCTGCATTTTTCTCTAATTTCAATAAATTATCTTAATTGTTTGCAAATAAGTTTATATTCTATAGCAGCTCTGATTTGTCTTCAATTTAATATGTGTTTATTGGATATTGATAATCTGTTCAATAAACATCGGATTGTGTTTCCTAATGTTTTTAGTATTTTTTTTGCTTTATATTTGTTTCATAATATTTTTAATCATGTGCAATCCTGTGTTGTTATGTGTTTGTATTAGGCTGTGATCTTGGTTTTGTTTTATCATAATGTTTTTCTTTTTGAGTATCTATAGGATTTGATTTGTTAAATATTTTTTGGATTTATTGATTGTTATTTCTAACTGAAGTATATTTTTTGGTATCTATGTTTAATTTTATAGATATTGCAATCTGCCTCTAGTTAGTACTTCACACAGATTGTTCTTGTTTAAGTTTATTATCTAGTTTTTGATATGTAGTGGGAATTGTTTATCTTTTATACAAAATAGTTTGTATCCTGTATAAATGTATATACTACTATTTGTAGTTGTGCTCAAAACACCAATCTTGTGTTTGAAGACTTGTTTGATTTGGCTGTTTATAAAATTAAATTCTTGGTTTAAGAGAGTTTTATCTTAGAACATACATTCTATAGCTGGCATCATAATCTGATTCAGAATATATCTGTACTGTTTGTCCATAATTATAGCTCTTTTTAAAATCCATATTATTGTTTTGATCTTTTGTTTGATCAGTTCATGCTGATGTTTTTTGTTACCTGTTGCTGTGATCCATATTCTTAG